ATATATATATATATATATATATATATATATATATATATATATAACAAATCATAAGACAAAAAATGATGACATGAATTTCAATTTTTGTATATATGTACTTTAAATACACACAAAATATGATGTATGCAAAATTTTATTCAAAAATAGTAATCTCTAATAGTCTAATTAAAAACCAGAAATATTAAAAAATAAGATAGATAAGATGCACTATCATAATATGATGTTAAATTAAAAATATGTTGTATATACTATTATCGTGTATATACTATCGTAGTGCGGGTGCTCCTAGGATTGACTGGTCAATGTGCAGAACAACCAAGCGTCTTAATCAAAGCCCGAAATAGTTTTCTATTTTGGTTTTTAACTGGTATGTTTTTAATTAATCCTAGGAATGACTAATATCGCTGATCAAAATTAAAAACTAGAAAATATGAATTGAGAAATAGAAAACTAGAAAATATGAATGTTATAACAAAATAAATAAAAAATATATCTTTGATAGGGTGTAAAGCTTTGTATCCACCTTACTAAAAATCTAATTTAACCCTATCCTAATATTGTGACAATTGTTGATTATTTAAAAAATATACATTTATGCACTTACATCTTAATAACTAACGTTCTCACAATGCTATAGAATAGAGTTAGATTTTATTTTTAGCAGCGTAGAAACTTTCAACTCTACCAAAAATATACTTTTGATACTTGCTAAATGCATGTGATATCAAAGGATTATTTATGAAACTTCTTTTGTTAATAATTTTTTAATACATGATTTAGCAGCGGTTAAAACCTATTGGAGGTTACTCAGAACAATGATTATTACAATATATTTATAAGAACACAGTTATTAGAGATGTCTTCCCTAAACAAGAGTTTTAATTTTTTTAGGTTTTAATTTTGATCAGCTATATTAGTCTCTCTTAGGATTGACTAAAAAAATACCAGTTAAAAGACAAAACACAAAATTATTTCGGACTTTGATCAAAACGCTTGATTGTTCCGCATGACCAATCAAGCCCGCACTACGGGCTTTGACCATAACATGTATATATATAATACGTTTTTACACGAAAAATAAAAATATTAACATATTTCTCATTTTCACTGACTTTTGCAGCAATTATGCAGGCAATATATACTTAAGGGGTTTCTTTATGTCTTTTTTTACAACAATCAATTCTTCTCGTCATCCTTTGTACAAAAATACTGGGTTAAAACTCGAAAAATGAGTATTTTGCGAAATATTTCGTACCTTACGTTGCAAAGTACCACAATAAAATGTAAAATATCTCAAGAAGTATCCGTTTTTTAATAATTTTAATATTTTTATACGCAGAATGGCCAGATAAGTGAAATTGTGCTAAAAAGAGAAGTATTTGATTCCATAAAAAAAAGAACGCACCTGCATTCTGCAAGTGCATTGGCGCATTGTTCGAAAAAATTTAATCACACAGAATGGTAGAACAATGCTTAACAATGAAAGTTTTTCCTTTGACTTTCTTCTATCTTGATATTTTTAGGCTTTCGCGGTGTTCATGCATATTAAAATTTGGTTTCCGGGTTTAAGGCGCGCGGATTTGTTCTTCTTTGTTTGATTCTATCTTGACTTAGAAAACAGCTGTAACCCGTTTCAGCGACTAGAATCACCCTATACGTCGATATAGGTCAGAATCGATGGAATCGGTCGTCCCGATCGAGCGATATGCGCCTCACCGTCGGACATGGGTGACATCATGTGCAACTGAACGGAACTCGCGCCCGCATCCTCGCCGAAGATCGTAACTCGATTGGGACAGCCGCCGAAGTAATGTATATTGTCCTTGACCCATTTCAACGCCATCACTTGGTCCTTCAAGCCGGCGTTGCCGGGCGCGCTCTTATCTCTGGTGTTCAAGAATCCTATAAATCGATGCGGCAAATTAATTCGCCAGCTGCTCGCGAGATTCGCGAATTCAGATTGCTCGCCGAGACGACGCATTCTACTTGCCGATAGGGCCAAGTCTGTAATTGAGCGTTACGAGGATGACGTCCTGCTCGATCAAGAAGTCGGGCCCGAAGAACGTGTCGTCTCCGAGGCCGCTGTTGAAGTTACCGGGGTGGAACCAGACCATCACGGCTTTACGGGCGTCTTTGTCCAATACCGGAGTGTAAACGTTGAGATAAAGACAATCCTCTTCACCTAACATGTCCTGCTGTATCATGCAGAATAAAGGACAAACGGAGCGATGGTAGGTCGCATCGTATGTTCCTTCCCAGGGTTCGGCAGGCTCGGGCATCTTGAATATCAATATTAGGACTCGAGTTGTGGGTTCATACGATAATTAAAGTTGTCACTTCCACATTCTTTCGTACATCAGGATCATCACTCGCATGTAACTTACGAAAATGGAGACGAGCGAAATTTTGATCCTACTTTCGACTTCAATTCCATTTAACGCCCATTTTAATACTCTAATATCCGATATCAACCTCTTTTGATTTTATTTTATTTATAGCTTTGCTAAAAGATCTTTAAAATCTGCAAGTGGAATTTTGTGCGTTTTTTACCATTTAGAAGCGCTAATTGAGATTTCTATTTTTGTGTATTAAACATACGCTGAAGAAAAAGTTTGATAATAACCATCAAACCTGAATAATTTATGTAATGCACGGAGAAAATATTGTGTATATATATAATAATAATTATACCAAGATTTTTATAATCTTTGACTATATAATTATAATCGAAATCGCTATATACTAGTTTAAAAATATTATATACATTTGATCTTTTACGACAATTATTATAACTTAAATATTATAACTTTAACTACGATTATTATAACTTAAATATATTTTATATCATATATCAGGGTATATCATTAAATTAACTATTTCTTTAATAATTTATATTAAAATTTCAGTATAGTGTAACTTTACGAAAACCATTATAAAAATAAATAAAATTTTAACGTAATTTTTATTATATAATATTTTCACTATATACATATTACTAAATTATTTGTTAAATTAAATATTGTCCAATAATACTTATCATATTATATGATAAATATGCAAAATCATCTCAAAAATACCTTGGTAATATTCAAACTATTTAATAATTATTATTAAATTATTTGGTATTATTTAACAAACTACATATTTAATTATTTCAATTGACTATAAAAAATTTGTTTTACTAATTATTTTGCAATCATTACCAGACAATTAGAACTATTACGATAATAATTATTAAATATTGCACTAAAATGCTCAAACAAATGCATTTGTTAAACTATTACAAGACTTATTTTCAGTGTATATATTAACCTTTCAGAATATACAAATGTTAAAAAGTTTTGATCGAAAGTAGGACTAAAATTTTGACGTATAACTAGCAATGGGATCTTAACTTACCTGGAATTTATTGAGACCGACATTTGGTTTTGCATAAGGTATGCCTTTAAAACTATAATATGGTACATTCTGCAAAACAGTACTGGTCTTCAGACCTTTTAGAAATCCCTGCGGGATTTCCAATTGAACATCTTGCTGGGCTTTAGCCCACCCGACCACAAACACACAAAACACCAGTTTGTTGAAGCGCATTTTCACACTGCGACAAGACTGCTTCGTTGTGTCGCATTTTATAGCTTCGGTAATACGTTGCTGATCAAAAGAATGGGTTATTGCGGACTATATTTACGCAATCACTACTCGGCAAGCATAATAGCGCCAACTGGTTATCCGTAATTTACGAGATGCCTCCATAATCTCGCGTGTCAACTGCAATCCGCAGCATCGGGTTTTCAGGTAAAATTGTCAAGTCGGATTTCCTCAGTTTATCTTCAGCCTCGATATATAATCCCCATTAGAACTTCATGATACACTTCCTGAAATTTATTATTGTAATCCGCGGCAAGGCACTTGGTGCAAATCGCGTCGCTTTTTAAGAATCACGGATATGACATCACGATTGATCGCTGTGCCGTGTATACATTTTGGAATTTTAACCATAATACCCGTTTATCATCAATAAACACAATTCTAAAATCACCATTCGTTGTGTTTCGTTAAACAGCACGGTTGCCTGGATATGCGCTAAGAATGAAGGAAAGTTTACGTGATACCGATGAGTCATCACGGATAATACGTGATCGTAGCCACGTAATGCCTATTCTTATGAACCGACAAAATTTTCCATGCGATGACATATTCTCATCTACTTATTACTGGCAGAAGCGGAAATCACCCTAGGACGAGCGTGCTTCGCGCTTTAGCTTGTAATCAAAAGTTAATCGAGTCGCATCGCATTGTTAATGCTTAGACACATTAAAACTATGGAAAATATCGCGATGCCGTTGCCATGGCGAAATATTCCAAGCAGAATTTCAAGGCAGGACGCGTGAAGTGCACTCGGAATGAATAAATTTTTATAACTTACTTTTACTCTCTCTCTCTCTCTTTCTCTCTTTTTCTCTTTCTTTCCTCTCGCAAACGCGCATGGATAGAGAAGCAAATGTAAAGAGAAGAAATGAGATGAGCACAGCTGCACAAACTAGAACGAATAGTATGCCGTAATGATTAAGGTCATGCATTATATGCAAACTTCACGAATTAAACGGTAATTAAGATCGCGTTAAGGGAAAAGCACTCTGGGTTGTCTGATACCTATGACATGATGGAACGAGCAGCATGGGTATGGATGTAGAACGTAATTAAAATTCACGGAGATCAACTCGACGTATTTTTTGGCTAAACGCGCAGAATTGCATGAAAGGAAGTGTCTTTGAACCGGTCTTAAAACTGTGCAAAGGATGCGTACTTTGGAAATTTAGTAGAGTATACTCAAAGAAAAAGGCATGATATTGCAAACGTATAAGTGACAACTGGGCTTTTGTGTGTAGAATCAATATACAAAAAGATTTTTATATATTTATGTAAAAAATTTTTTGTTTTTTTTTTTTTAAGCTAATTAATTTGTCTCATTATTCTGCGCAAAAAAGCATTAAGACAAGATAACCGAAAGATGAATATTTTACGAGATATTTTGTATTCTATGTCAAAGTGCTGGAAATTTCAAGTGTTATTACTCGAAAAGTTCTTAACGAAAAAATATTTTATTATAGCGTTTTGGAAAGCTCTCGAGATGTGCTATAAGAATATGCAATGAAAAATGGGGTGTTCCATTTAAAAAAATTAATGTGACCTTGACCTGACCTTCGCTACGCAACCCAAGGTCAAACTGATGTGATCAGTAAATACATCTTTTTAAACGCCACAACTTTTGTCTGAAACATTTTTTTGTAAAACTTATATTTTTCCTGATATTCGGGCGTCCCGGTACTTTCCGAACACCCTGTATATAGTTTAATTAATTATTTTGTAGAGTTATATATTATAATGTATTGCAATGAGATTATGAATCAGAATAGTTGAGAAAATACATTGATTCAGGATAGATAAGAAGTTGATTCTGCGTGTGTGTTGCATCATATGTGTTTAAACATTATTATCTCCTCCCGTAGTTAAAAATTATTCGCACTAATACTCAGCGATTGGCTCCTATATGCCAGGTTACTAATTATGTTGTTAATTAACAGTTACGTTTCCACGATAATTCGATTCGACTTGACATGGAAATTTCTTGATTCGCACATATCTATATATGAAACTCTGAATTTTCTGCCTGCAAAACTTACAAAATTGCGACCTATATAGTTGACATCGTCACGCCTTTTTCCCGAATGTAGGCATCCGTAATTTTTAATTTTTAATTGGGTAACAACATCGTACGTCTCGCGGTAAATCAAGCTGCGAGCACGGCGTTGACAGACAGCGAAATGAAAAAGAAAGAAAAAAAATGGAAGATATATGAAATCGAGGTAAATCTGGCGGGCGTGATTTTCCACTTTAACGAACGATCCGACGGTTTCTGACAATCTGTTCGCCGCGCTGGGGAGAAGGAAGATACGTTCCGTGAGCAATTGCAGCCGTCCACCCGGCGTTCCCTCGAGTGAACTTCAGTCTGTTTCGAGCGTGCCATCGAATTTTTCAAACTTCAACGTGATTTTCCATGAGGAACGTTCCTCTCCACCACCGTCGTCGACGGGTGGAGACCTCAAAAGCGGCGTTGGCCGCGCAGTAAATGCGCGAATTACACTCGCGAATCGAACTTATGCAGAACGTTCGGCGGCTACACGCACGATTCGCGAGCAGCCGCAGTTCTTTCGACAATTTTTTTTCATACACCTCACCGTTAGCCAACTGAACGGAGTGCTCTAGAATATCGGGCTCATATCGAGTTCGATGGATTCGCGGAACGGCAACTGAAAATAAATTAGTTTGCATATTCAAACGAAGCGGATCTATACGGCGAAAAGGGGACAAGCCGGTCGATAAGCTGTATTATACAACGGCAAGGAACAAGCGCGCTCCCAACTTTTTCTCCTAAATAGAATATCCGCTTACAGCAAGCTGCTTTCAACGGTTGCCGCTGGGGAAAAGACAAAAGGGTAGACATGGGACACTTGCGAAATATGACCACTTTGTCCACGCCCCGGCATCGACGGCTCTCGCTTCTATGCGTTTTCTACCTGAGAAACTTATGGCCCAGTTTCGCGTTTCAAAGCGACATTCAAGTCGAATTTTAAACAACATGCTAATTCTCCCAGGAACAAGCGATGCGTGAAAGCGGCAATTTGAGGCGACCATTAATGTTAATGGTCCTCTTGCCCCGTTACCCAGCTCGCAATCTACAAATGCAACAGCGAATGCATACTTACTTTGTTTGTTTTTCTTGCCCGCGTAATAAGATGAAAGTTGCACAATAATGGTGGACTTATCTCCCGCCTTATCAACAGCGCTATTTCAGCGGAGTGCATTACTCGTCTCCCGATAAGTCATGTCCGCACAGTGCCACACGAAAGGAAAATTTTGTCGCGACTCATCGCGACATTCCGCATCACTCGGCGTCCCGTTACGCGCGCGACAGAGAGGCAATTAAAGCCCGCTGCCGGCGGACAAACACAATGAAATATTTCGTCGCGAGGTGCGGAAGGTCAAGTGTTCTCGATCGCGCGCGTTTCATGCCGCGGAACGTATCGCACGCATCGCGCGCGACGCGGGTGATAAAAAAAAGAGAGCCGAACGAATGAACGGGAAACGGCCGGCCAGCGGTCGGCGGCCTTTTAACCGGCGCGACCGGCGGTCGTTTGCCCGAATTACGGGCCACTGGCACCGGAAAAAACTTTCGAATAATGCGAAAACAACGCGCGGCCAAGCGCCAAACGCCGAAACGGCGGCAAGGTGCACGAATATTTTTCCCTCTGTCGCCCGCGCCCTTTGTCGCCGAGCGCGTGGCGCGCGCGCGCCCGCCCCCGCCATCGTCATCAACGATCCTCCCCGATTCCAGAGGATACGAACGAGCGAGCGAGCGAACGAACGAACGAACGAACGCTGCGGACGAAGCACGCGCGAATTTGACACATTTCCGGTGCGCGAAAAGCGTGCCGCGAGAGCATATTTTCACGTTTTTTCCTCCCACGGCCCCGAATCAACGGCCTGCCGTCACTCAGCCGCAGCGCCGCCGCTACCTCCACCGCCACCCTCTCGAGCTTTTCACTTCGTTTTAACAGCTCGTTCTTTTGCGGCTGTTCGCCTCTCTCTCTCTCTCTCTCTACCTTTTGCATTGTGTCCTCGCGCTTCCCTCTCCCTTTCCTCTCTTCCCTACCTTCTCTCTCTTTCTCGCTCGCACTCGTTACTTCTCATCCGTCCTACCCACCCCTTCCACTTCCATCCATTTGTCCTTTCTGGTCACCTCATCCCCCGCTCTCACTTACTCACTCGCACACTGTCACCCCGGCCCTGTACATTTCGTTCGCTCGCAAACAATGCTGCGGCCACCCTCGTGCCTACGCGCTATTTTCGCTGAATAAATTTAATTTAAATTTTCCTGCCGTTCGGAACGTTTATTAAGTAAATATATCACGCAGGGAGAGGCGGCGCGGCGTATACCCTGATATTTTCCGCGGGACTTCCACCGCCAAAGCCGCGAGCACGTATTGCATCCCGCCATTGCCGCGAACGCGTGCACGTGTTCATGATGCACTCATAGAATAACCGGCGAAACGCGACTCCGTGTTTACCGGATTAATTTATTAAGTTCTGCGCGAGCCCTTTTACACCCGCTCGTTGCGCGTTCCGTATCCCCGGGCTAGAGAATTTCGCGGTATGCGAATTGGAAAATGTAGTTTCATTGCGCGGAAATTATATTAAAGCGGAAACTGTCTGCAACGAAATGCAATGAGTGTGCGACATGCGATTTTAAGGATCACAAACCACAAGCGAACTGAAATTAAAATCTTCCACCGTGTCAATGTACATCTCGCAGCATCCGTGCGAATACACGGCGGTTACTGAAAACTCGGCTTACGCTATAGTACAATAACTCACCATTAGATCGTGAGTAGAATGTCGCATGACAGTTTGCCGTATAGAAACAGAGGGAGAGGGGCGGAGGAGAGAGAGGAGAGGGACAGGGCAGGAAGTGAAGCAACATGGTATATAGGAAGGGAAGGTGAGATGTCATATTTGCGGCCATTAGGAAGCAATTAGCCAAGCGTGAGCTATCT